TGTGTGTGTGTGCATTGGTTGTTGCTATGTGCATCCTATGTATGCAAAGGTTATGCTTGTGCTCATTGCATTTGTATTCACCTGATGCTTCATTTCAACTCAGCAAAATCCACCTAGTGTCAGCAAAGAGTGGGAGGGACTTGAATGGGATAACACAATTGGCACAAAGCTGGCGGGTGCCGTGGGCGAAGAAGCATATATGTGACGCGTGTGGCCGCCCTCATCCGTACAGAGGCATCTAGTGCTCTGCGTGGAGCCGGGATTTAAAGACATAAATGGTACTCCCTCTGTACCGGTGCATTAGTCATCTTAGGTTATGCATTGCGACCAAGATAAGGAAAAAATGAGAAAACTTGATGTTTATTTGCTAATTAATATCATTGCATGCAAAGAATTGACAGGTGCTTGTTATAGTAAGTAGTCTCAAGTCACTGAACACATACAGTCTCCATGTCTCCTATTGGCTGATTTCTTTTCTCATGGCTAAAAGGGGAAATGATGTGGGTAATTAATGAATCACGCATAAGAATTTTGAGATTATTTGGTTTTTGTAACGTGACTTATGCAACGGTACAAAGGGAGTTCTAGTTATTCAATTTGCGAACATTTGTTTTGTAGAAAAGGACTAGATAATTGCGCATGTGTTTCAACAAGTTATAATATTCTAATACCTTAGCCCTTAATTTGTCTGTCCATATAAATATAATTGTGTAAATAAATATTTGTCAAATCATGCCCATGATTTTCCTATCTAAATTAGAAGTTTGGTTCTAATGCCCTCGTAGTTTGATAGGTTTGGTCATGCGTAATATGTGAATTACGAAATTGATGCAAAGTATGTAAATTATGTGACATATGTAAATTATGTGACATATGTAAATTATGTTACATATGAAATTGATGTAAGATGACTGATTAGCGTACGGTGAAGAATTGGACAAAAGGCGTGCTGGGACAAAAAAAGTTGCACAAAAAACCCGATCGAGGGATGTGGTGGAAAGAGGGAACCAGTTGATGTAGAATTATTCCGACATAAAAAGAACCTTATTTATGTTTTAAGTATATAAGTGGAGATCGTAGTGAGAAATGGGATTAGCCCTACATGTAACCGTGCACAAGGACATTATGGAACCACCAAGGACGGTCCCACCAAGAGTCCGAGATGGGAACCCTAAAACAAAAGAGTCCGAGATGCGAGAAGGATCCTTAGAAGCCTGGAGATCAAGCAAGGAAGACCCTCCACCAAGGCTGGGTATTGGTCAATGTTTGCAATCGGATGGCTGGCTGAACTTTCAGACGGCTAGGCCCGCTCTCCATGCGCGACACGGTTTTTACCCGGGACCTCTTACTGGACGCTCGTTGCGTCCAACAGGGCGCTAACGCACGGCGGGCGATGCGACTGGGCCAGCCCAAACTAGCGAACAACAGTCACAGGGCGCCGACGCGACTGGGCCAGCCCAAGCTAGCGAACAACAGTTGAACTATTTTTTTGAGGCTTTTGTAAAAATCGAACCCTGGATCTCATGCTCGCGAAGAGGTGCTAGTACCAGTTGAGCTAGGGTACGTTGTTGTATATTTGGCTGGGCGAAATACTTACAAACCGTAACTAGCGCCGATACCCTTCTCAAAAAAAGGAAAACTAGCGCCGATACTATATTTTTGAAATTTCAGACGCAAAACAATTTTGTTCGAAGAAAATAGGAATGTTTACGAAACACAAACGCATTCCAAATTTGTGAAGAAATTTTAGAAAAATCAGGCATTCTCAAAAAAAGGATTTTTTTCGAAAATAATGAACAATTTTCCTAAACTCGTGAAAAAAAATTGAAATGTGATTTTTTTTAAAATTCCATAAAAACTTGTAACACGAACATTTTTTGAACATCTACAACAAAATTTGAGAACACGAACATTTTCTTTTTCAAAACAGGAACATTTCATTGAAAGTCCAAACCAAAACTTGAAACACGAACATTTTTTGAACACCTAGAACATGTTTTGGAAAAAAGCCTGAGTGTTTTATGTAACACAAACACTTTTCAACTTTGTAAAAGAATTATTCACAAACAGAAACATTTTCAAAAACCAGAACATTTTCTAAATTTTTGAACAAATTTTGAAAACTGGAACATTTTTTGAAATTACCAAACAGATCTTAATTTGTGAACAAATTTCAACAATTGAATTTTTGAAAACATATGGAAAAAAGGAACAAATTTCTAGATTTTTTTGATTATGTGAACACAATTGAATAATGTGAAAGTTTTCTGAATTTGCGAACAAATTTTGAAAATGGGAACATTTTTTGGATTTTGTAAACAATTTTTGAAAACGGACACAATTTCGAAAACAAGAATATTTTTCTAATTCATGAACAATTAAAATGCGAACTTTTTTAATTTATGACCAAATTTTAAAACATGAATATTTTCTGAGCTTTTGAGCAAATATGGAAGACAGAAACATATTTCTTAAACCAAATTTTTTTTAGTTTGTGAACGAAATATTAAAAGGGCAAACACTTTTTGAAATTTGGAACATTTTTCGAAAATAGGAGAACAATTTTTCAAATTCTAAACTTTTTCGAAATTTCTGAACGAAAATTTAAAAGCAGGAACATTTTCTGAAAAGTCAAAGAAAATTGGAAAATTTCAATTTTTTTCTAAATTTCTGAAACATTCTTTAAAAATAGAAAAAGTTCAAAAAGAAAAGAGCAAGAAGAAAGAAAATAAAAAACGGACAGAGATAAAGAAACAGAAAAAAAGAGAAAAGACGAAAAAGGAAAGATTAATCAAAAGTAAAAAAACAAAAAAAGAAATATAAAAAGAAAAACCGGTTCAGGAACCTTCTAGAATGTTCCCAAAACCGGAAAAAATAGGCTGGGAACATCCATAGAAGGTTCCCAAAACCGGTATGGTTGGAACGATAACAGGCCGGCCCATCCCCTCGAGCGCTCGGTCGATACCTGTGCGGTAGCCTGACTGTTTGCCGCAAAGAGCAGCAAATAGGGTTTTCCTTTTTACCCTGGCCCAGCATCACGTGCGACACGCGTCCTTTGCTAGCCCACCACCGCCACTTTATCTTTTTTGCTAAAATTCTTATCCTCATTCCCTCACTCGTAACTGGTCTACTGACAAGGGTGTGCAGTGGCGCACTCTGCGGCCAGAGTTCGACTCCCTCCGCGAGCGAATTCCTGGATCCTCACACGAGAGGGCTCATTCTATAAAAATATGTCATGGGTGCTTGTGACTACAGTCTACGGATCTTATTTTTAACTGCTCATGGACCTGCTCCCTGTAGCCGCAGCAATCCTTCATTAGCGAGCATCAGATCAAGATCCCTCTGCGGCTGATCTCTCTCCTTCCATATTACAAGCCTGCATGGTGGTGCTGGCAGCCAGTCATTAACGTTGGGGCGCACGAGCTCCACCGTCCAAATTTGCTTCATCCGGAGGATGTTGCTCGCCGACGACTATGACGTTTTTCAAGGGCGACAACTGATGCACGACGAGCGGAGCGAGAACATGGCGCGAGCCCGGCGGTGGCGAGCCGAGATCGCGGCTCTGCTTGCTGTAAGTTGTGACCTCGGAGACCCCGATGCTACAACCGGCACGATGGAAAGCTGGAACCAGAGGCATGGCGAGCTACAACCATATGTCGTCCATGATGGAACCAACACGATCGAAAGATGGAATTGGAGGTGCGACGAGCTACAACCAAAGGGTGCTCGGTGCTGCAACCGAAATGATGAGAAGATGGAACTAGATACGCGGCGAGCTACAACCAGAGGTGCTCGGTGCTGAGCCCGAAACTACGAGAAGATGAAACTAGATACGCGGCGAGCTACAACCACATCTCACGGTGCTCGTGACAGACGGGACAAAAAACTGCAACCAGCGTCTGCCGTGCTACGACCATTGTCGGGAAAAGCGTCAACCGGCCATGGCAGAGCTGCAACCCATGGCGACCTACGACAATGGCGAGTTGCGACCTCACGGTAGTCATCGGGGATGCTACAACCACGGGGGGAGCCGCCGGAGCTCCTAGTGGTGACCAAGACCCGGCCAGTGTTGCAACCGTGACACCCACTATCGATACTAAACCGGCGAATCTTCGGTAGGGGGTCCCGAGCTGTGAATCTTGGGTCGTCGAATAATAGGAGATCGGGAGATCGAGTACAAACTTGATCCACCTTGAGATCGCAAGTTTGGTTCAAATCCTAAGGTGATGATGTGTGTTCCTCTACAAGCCAAACCCCACGGTTTATATAGACAGCGGGGGGTAGCTAGGGTTACATATGGTTGGGTTTCCAACTAGGGGCGCACTTGCCAATACTCCGTATGGGCGAAGGGGGAGCGCGAGGAAGACGAAGGCCATGGTAGGGAGGGGCAAGACGAATAAGGAGACGAAGGCCATGGTAGAGAAAAGCGAATGAAGCGGTTTGAGGACCAGAAGCGGTTAACAATTTGAGGGCGTTGGATCTAGAGTCATCCAGCAGCACGCGGGTGACCGCCCAACATTAGGCTGGCGCGCCACAGGGAAAAGTTTCCCAAATAATAATAGGTAGATTTTGGAAAGCTAACTGTAAAACTGGTAGTTTTATGATATTTACTCGTTTCATCCTATAGTTTTTTTTCATCTAGTTTTCTTCTTCTGTATCTTTATCTCTACTCGCATGCCGCTGTATGACTAGATGAATAAGTCATCTTACAAAAATCATGTTTTCCCGAAACCTTTAGGCGTCAACTATTAAATTCTCCCACCTCCTTCACGGGCGTTTCCTTCCTCGATGCCTTCCCCTGTATGCATCGTGGTTGGGCAGCAGATTGGAGACGGTTTGTACGTGGGTCTGCATGGAGAGCTCAAAAGGCATCCTAATAACTAGCGATTAAATGCTGATTTTGCATGCGTTTGTACCAGCACCGTGATTGGAAGTTTCCCTTGTCGTGGTGCTCCTTCTTGTTCAATCGACAACCACCTACGCCTGTGCATCTAGACGGAGGGAGTGCTATTTTTTTTTTAAATGTAACGTTTCATGGTTTCATGTTTCACTTTCTTCCCACCACCTCTTGCCTGTATGATTATCAATCCGCCGAGTTTACTTATCTGCTGAACTAATTCTACTTTAATGTACTTATCAAACTTCTTACCAAAATATAAGGTATAGACAGGTAAAACACAAGCTAACAGGCAAGAAATGATAAACATTTATTTAAACGATCACATTAGTATGGACAGGTAAATCACAAGCTAAAGTAGTAGTCTCTCCGTTCCTAAATATAAGCCTTTTTACGTATTTCAGTTGGGACCACATTCAGAGCAAAATTGATTAATCTACACTCTGAAATACATATACAGACATCCGTATGTACTCTGTATTGAAATCTCTAAAAAGTCTTATATTTAGGAACGAAGAGAGTAGAATATTTATATCCCATTGCAACGCGCGGGCATTATCCTAATATAGCTAAAATTAATGATCACGGTGGAAATATAAGAGCAGGGTACCAACATGAATATAAAAGAAGATAAATTTACCAGGAAATAGTAAATCCTTTCAGGTTTTCTTGCCATGAAAGCAAGATCTCCAGCAGTGAGGCCATCTTTGTTGGTAATGCCCATGTTCACACTTGGCGTCGCCAACAGTGAATAAAAAATTCCTGGATATTGACTTTTGACGGCAAGATGGAGCGGGGTATTTCCATGAGAGTCAGTCGCATTCAACAGCATCGCAAACTCGTCATTTTCGCAAATTTGGTGAACCAACCACTCCCGACCATGCTCGACAGCATGATGGAGAAGGTTTCTTCCCTGATTATCAACCTGTTCATAAAAGTCGGGGAATTCAGTTATGAGCTCAAGGACGGTTCTTCTGTCCCACACCATAGCAGCAGCGTGGACAGGAAATGATCCGTTGTTATCAGAAATGCTAGCTAGCCGGAGGGAAGCATGATCATCCAGGAATAGCTCCACAACATCGAGTCTTCCATACAATGCTGCAAAATGGAGAGGTGTTCTTCCTGATGAATCAACTTTGGTTAGCAAAGTTGAATCTTTGTCCCAACCCAGGATTGCTTGAACTATTTCTGCTTGAAAATTCAGTTTGTCAGCAGATAAAAGAACATATGTCAAAAGTTACCGGATTCATCATTGTTTAAGTAATAGGAACTTAAAATACATAATTTAGGATTATTGCTTCCTAATCCTTGAGTAACAATAAGCATAATAACAAAACAAAGCAAAACATAAAGGGCTACGGACAACAAGTAAACAAACAGCTGCATACTAGCTACATACCTTTGCTAACAGCTGCCGCAGCATGCAAAGCAGTCCGTCCCTCCGGACCAGAAAACGACGCCGGCGACGGTGTTCCGTCGTGCGAGGGGCGTAGCAGCGCGCGGACGATCCCTAACGAGGAAGTCGATGCCGCCAGGTAGAGCGGCGAGATACCCTCGCCGCCGTCAACGGAGGCCAGATCGGGAGCCTCCTCCATTAGCAGATCTACCACATCACCATGCCTGTGCCGGACGGCTTCATACAAGGCCGTTGCCCCCGTCTGGTTCCTCGCCAGCAGCGCAGAGGAGGACGGCCGTCACGCCACTGTGCCCGGACTTGGCCGCGCAGTGCAGCGGCGTGTCGAGGCACTTGTTGCGCGTGGTGACCAACGAGGGCGCCCTCTCGCAGAGGAGCGTCGCGAGCTCCACGTGGCCGCGGCTGGCGACGAGATGCAAAGCCGTGTTCCCGTTGCTCGCCACGCCAAGAAGAAAGCTGGCCGGCGCCGCGATAGCATGTAGTACGTCTATTGCGACCTGGCCCTCTGTTTGCCGGCGGCTGTTGCCGGCACCATGGTCTTGCCTGCTCAGCATCTCCTCCATTCCGGCCATGTCGCCGGCAGTTAGCACTTCCAACAACTCCGGGTCCAGCATCTTCTCCATTCGTACTGCCGCTGCCGCCATGATTGATTTGGGAAGTGTGGTCTGCAATGCTAAATGGGATACTTGCTCTCTTCTCTACTGTGCATGATAGTGTTTTGAAGTTTGAACGTGAAAGACTTGCCAAGGACAGAGAGACGACTCGGCAGTCGGCACCCTCTTGGTCCACTGGACGTCTAGTAAAGTAAAGTATACGTTTTCATTTTGTCCGACTCCTAGTCGAGGGCACGTACATGTGAGCGCGCGGATTTTTAGAGTGATTCGGAAATAAAGTCACACATGTTCTTATCATGTTGGAGGAGTAAAGGTGGACTTGTTTTATCTGATAAAACTGATTTGATATTATCTTGTTGGTAACTAATCACTCATTTTTTTAAACATAGTATAGACGTAAGGCTCGTATATACGCGCATATACTTATTCCTATGAACGTACGGAATAAATGCGAGCATCAGCATTTGAACCCTAATAGGATGGAGATACCATAGCCCTACTAACCATCCAATCATTCGCATCTCATTGAATGTTACTAAACATGTATGGCCTTTGTCCTACTCTTCGATATTAGGTACATAAGTTTTATATACAAATAGACAACCCACGTTAAGCCAGCGCTGATCTATATATTAGAATCAAGGAATCAATGCACGTCATGATATGCCATGTCCATTCAACGCCTAGATGTGTGTGATTGTATATGGCTGGATATTACGTGTGCACGTTACTGGAAGCGTCCTAGCTAGCTAGGCGACGACTTTGAGACGCGACCAATAATGCACTAATAGCGCGTTTGGTCAAACCCTGCCCGTACCCCGCATCTTCATCATTTCGTTTTTCTTTGCATCCGCTTTATCTTTCGCCAACACTGCCGCTCTACCAGCCCTCCCGCCAGTCAAGCCCTTCACGGAACTCCACAACCTCTGTGACCTCCACCGCTACATCCGGTCTCCATGCCATTTGTCCTCCACCGCCGGT